TGACATTGTTAAGGCTATTGGCCAATTCATTTCCCCATATCTGTTTCATTTTATGTCAATCCAATCTTCTGTTCGACCCTGTTGTCTGTACTTTTTCCTTTTGAGTTTCATCACGTCATGGTTGATGTTGTACACACGATTCCAGATGCGTTGTAAACCCACATTTTGCCACTCCTCCATGTCAGTGCTTGAAGGCTTCCCACGACATTGTTTTCCAGCAGAACCTCCTCCTTTCTGTACAGGAAGTTGTTCCTCGCCTTCACTGTTGTCGTCACTATCATATCTGAGACGTTTCCTCTTTGATTTCAAACTGGTGTTTGCTGGACACCATGTTTTGATATGTCGCTGTAGATCATGCATATTGTCTATTAATACCCCGCAGTCGGTACACGCAGTGGCCATGGTGAAAGGTCCTGTGTCGTCACTTGAGATGGATGCTGTTTCAACGTCGTTGTCAAAGCTAAGAGATCTTTCTTTGGATGTGTGATCAGCACAAATGTCGGAAGCTGTCTGAACGTCTAATACTGGAGAAACCTCTTTTACCTGTTCTTGTTGCAAACCACTCTGTTGATCAGATGTATTGAGGTTGGTTTTCAAGAGATTGACATGGAGTCTATTCTTTTCACTTGTACTAGGTTTGAGATCCACTGTGAGGTGTCCATAAGGTGTTTCAACAGCCTTTTCATAAAGAGTCATAAATCTACTAATGTCATCAGGAAATATCCTTCTGGCAAATAACTTCACCTGCTGTCTGTCCACTGGTGAATTGAAAAGTGTTACATAATGTGAATTTAGAGCAATGTCACGAGATTCCTTACCTCTTGGGAAGAGGTTTTGCAATAGCAAAAAGATAATAACATTTTTGTGGTGGGAGGTTTGAGTAAACAGACGGGAAATCCGCTTATCGTTCTTTGCTTCAGACAGAAAATCATCCAACACCATCATGTTCTGGTTGTTGGCATCAAAGTAGTTTTCATCTTCAATATTGTAAGGTATTCCTTTCACAAAACGTACTTGGGGTAAAGTTTGAAGAATGCTATCGTAAAGAGGTTGCCACACGGTATAACACCAGACTATACAGTCAGGTAGAGGTTGAATGAATCCATGTCTTAATAGGTTGAAGACAAACACCGACTTTCCACATCCACTGGGTCCAACGATGATGCCATTAGAGGGAATCAGAAATTTGAATTGTTCATGCTTCTTGTTCTCCTCCTGAGGAGGAAGAGGAGGAGGAGTAGGAGGAAGTTGTTTATCCTGAGGCGGAGAAAGTTGTTTATCCTGAGGAGGAGGAGGAGGAGGAGGAGGAAGTTGTTTATCCTGAGGCGGAGAAGGGGAAAGTTGTTTATCCTGAGGAGGAGGAGAAGGAAGATGTTTATCCTGAGGAGGAGGAGAAGGAAGTTGTTTATCCTGAGGAAGAGGAGGATGTAACTCTTGAATTGATCCATGCATATGCATCTGCTTCTGATGTCTTTGTAAATTATCTTTTCGCGTAAATCTCTTGTCACAGTCTGGACAGGTGGTAGTAAGCTCCATAGTGATGTAACACAAGTGGGTGATTAGAGGGTCTGAAGCATTCTTTTATACCTTTGAGCCATGTTACGTTTCAAGGCAGCTTTAGTCCGTTTCATAATGATATTGGACACAGGTTGTATTTTCAGTGCAGTCTTCTTTTTGCCCTTCACAGTTGCCCTTCGTTTTTTCTTGTTAGATGTAACCTGTCTATTCAGCGATCCCATTGCTTTTCTCTGACCTGTTTTTGTTGACTTGCTCTTGCCAAACTTTGTGAACATGGGTGTAGGGCCAAATATATCCCCAGAAGCTCTCCTCATGTTGAAAAAGGACGTCTTATCCGTCAGCAGGCAAGAGTGAAATGCCAGTCATTACTTACTTCAGTTTAGTATTATTCTACTTTCTTACTATGCAGGATATTTTTGCAAATGATATTTGCATTTGTATATTTTTCTTATACCCAACAAAACATCATTTTGATCTAAACTACTTTTTTTTTTATGTTTTTTTTTCCACATACATCAGTAGCATCATTGACAACTGAAACAAGAAGGTGTACAGTATTTGAAGTAGTGACAAATATATTGAGATACATAAGTGTCATTCCATATAAAGGTCCTTACATCAAATTGATGAAGAAAGTGATGAAAACTCCAGTTGGTTTTACATTTACATAAGAGATAATACAAACAATAGAAGCCACATACATTTGAATCTACAGATTGTAACCGTTCACCATTCTGCAAGTAAGATTTAACATGAGACTTTAGATAACTATCAAATACAGCATCAACTGGTTCTGCTAAACTATCAAACAGTTCTGCTCTAGTTCCTTTGAAATACATAGCCACCCAGTGGCGACCACTCTTTTGTCTGCTGTCTGTATTCACAATGACACCCACTCCTTTCTTCAACAGTGAAGGTGTGAGTGTGGGTAAAGTATCTTTAGCATACACTCCCAAGACATGTCTCTGTAAGACTGAATCACACTGTATGGCACATTGCAGTTCTGAAGCTTTCATGTTGATGATTACTTGATATACACGTTCCTTGCCTTATCAATTTCTATGATAGAGTTTCTTCACTCATGATGACACAATTCAAAGTTTTTGTGAGAGCAGATTTGAATTCAATTTCAAGTCTCACATTTCCCGATTTCACCAGATTGAGATATTCAGTTCCTACTTCATCCTTTAAATCTATGTTTGACTGGTTTGTGTAAACTATAAGCATCTTGGTTGTTCACAAATCGTTTCACCTTCCTCAGCTTGATACTATGGTGACTCTTTTTCTTCAATTCATCAGGCAGTTTGTAGGGTCCATAATAAGCGCCTGGATTGTGATGGTCATAATAATACTTTTCTAATGCTTTTTGCTGTTTCAACTCACTGCTTTTCTTTTGGGAACTCATGTTGTACTGAGGAGAATGTGACTTACTAAACAAAATATATAACATAAATCACATTTGGTTTGATTATTTATTCATTCACCACTATCCCCTATTACAATTCACAAAAGTGTGTTACAGAACATAATGATCATCACCATGTTACAAAGCATGATTAAAACACCTCTGAATTACACTGATAGGATATGTCCTTCAAAATCTTGAGATAACATGTCTTCCATCATCCCCTCTGGATCATAGTCACACAAACAGTCAATAAGTTCATTACAACACACGTGACACTGGACTTGTCCACTATTGCAACTCACGTGACGCAGCATATTATTGTGACGACAAATGCTACAATTTCGTTGAAGAGGAGTAAGTTTCTCTTCTTCATATGGATCTTCCGCTGTTAAATCACCTGCGACATTCATCTCCATGTGTTGTTTCTCTTGCTGTTCAATGTCTTCCATGAGTTGAGTGTAATCCAACCACAAGTCATTTAAGGTGGACTGTGTTGGAAGCCAGTCATTGAAGTTAGGTTCTGTAGGAGGTGTTATAGGTTCTATCAGGAGTGATGGAGATGGCTGCGGTGCAGTGGGTGAAATAGCGCTGACATTGCTCCTATCAATGAAGAAGACGAATGTAAATTGAGAAACAAAATTATTTCATTGTAAACAATTAGGTAGAACAAATATAATTCATTATCGTAATGATTACACCTACCTTGGTTTGATTGCTGGACTGGCTACTCCTTTTTGGTCTTCCGCTTTTGTGGTCTTTTGCTCTTCTTTGCCACTGGTTGTCTATCGTTCTCCTTATACACGTGAGTCATGATGTTATATAAAGACGCCCCTTAACTCTTTATCGGCTGGTGTAGAACCATACAATAGGGTTAAAAGTTCAAAGGACAGCTCCTGGAATGTATGGAATGTGAATCCTGAAAACTCCTTTGGTATGTAGGATTACTCCTTAAAAAAATGCCTTTGATCTCCCCTGGAATGCTATTGATCTCCTTAGGAATGCTTTTGTTCTCCTTAGGAATGCTTTGATGTCCGAAGCGGTTAGAATCAGCTATAAATTTATAGACATGAGCAACATTCCACCCATTTCAACTTTAATAGCAATGATTTCGATATATCAAATACTGACTGAGTTTAGTTTTACGCCGCTTTTAGCAATATTCCAGCAATATCACGGCGAGGAACACCAGAAATGGGCTTAACACATTGTGCCCATGTGGGGAATCGAACCCGGGCCTTTGGCGTGACGAGCCAACGCTTTAACCACTAGGCTACCCCACCGCCCCATATATCAAATATGTTTGGTTCCTAGTCATAACATTTCAATACACATTCCCATCTCCGTGAGTCATGATGTTAAATAAAGACGCCCCTTAACTCTTTATCGGTTGGTATAGAACCATAGTGTAGGCTATCATTGTATAAAATAGGGTTAAAGGTTCAAAGGACAGCTCCTGGAATGTATGGAATGTGAATCCAGAAAACTCCGTTGGTATGTAGGATTACTCCTTAAAAAAATGTCTTTGATCTCCCCTGGAATGCTATTGATCTCCTTAGGAATGCTTTTGTTCTCCTTAGGAATGCTTTGATGTCCGAATAGCAATGATTTCGATACATCAAATTTGCTTGGTTCCTAGTCATAACATTTCAATACACATTCCCATCTCCGTGAGTCATGATGTTAAATAAAGACGCCCCTTAACTCTTTATCGGTTGGTATAGAACCATAGTGTAGGCTATCATTGTATACAATAGGGTTAAAGGTTCAAAGGACAGCTCCTGGAATGTATGGAATGTGAATCCAGAAAACTCCGTTGGTATGTAGGATTACTCCTTAAAAAAATGTCTTTGATCTCCCCTGGAATGCTATTGATCTCCTTAGGAATGCTTTTGTTCTCCTTAGGAATGCTTTGATGTCCATTCAATACAATGATTACTTCTATCTTACTACTCTTTAATACCTTACTGTCGTAGATGTGGAAGAATATATATGTAACAAAGTAAAACATTATGAAGAGAGCGCCGAAAAGCTTTCGTGAGTCCAGTCTCTTCTTATTATGAATATGCGTGTTTGATTACAAACACGAGAAAAGTCCGGTCACGTGATATGCAAATTAGCCTGTGGCAGTGAGGTTATGTTAAGTCATCGCAGCCATGATGTAGGTTGATGCTGGTGGAACTGCATTGTCAACTTTACATCATCTCGGACTTCCTACACTGCCGATCTGTGCCGAATGCTTCGATGTAATTGCCTGGTTGCTATAGGAACGGGTTGAGTGACAGCTCCGACTTGTGCTGGATGTAAACAGTGCCTGACTCCACTTTAACCGGGAAGACGTCTTGCTGTAAACAGAATAAACACTGATATAAACATTTACTGTCCGTACAAACCCATCACAAGATCGTGCACTTCGTGGCCTTGCGAGAGATTAAACTGATTTGACTGTCATGAAAACCGATCGCGATAATTGATATCTCGGCCATTCCATGGTATGTTGTCACATCATGGCCGCTTTGGTCTATTTGTCCTATACACATAAACATTAACCAAACACCACCCACTGTTTTATATCAGTACGAAAACATGACATGTTTTATATGCTTTGAAAACCATATACATTTTAAACTGGCAACTGTAATATATTTTACTCTGATTAAAAAAAAAATAAAACTGAAATTGCAATTTTTGGTACTAATTTACTTGCAATCTGTGAGAAATACACAAAAACGTGAATATCAACAATATTAAGCATGGTCACAATGAGTACCGGGGCGGTGGGGTAGCCTAGTGGTTAAAGCGTTGGCTCGTCACGCCGAAGACCCGCGTTCGAATCCCCAAATGGGTACAATGTGTGAAGCCCATTTCTGGTGTTCCCCGCCGTGATGTTGCTGGAATATTGCTAAAAGCGGCGTAAAACCATACTCAGTCAGTCAGTCACAATGAGCACCCCACCAATCTGATTGTCACACAGTAACTGTTCTCAAACTAATGATTGTTGCGGTTGTAAGAATTCGCATTGGCGACCACACCAGTACCAGGGGTAGTCATCTCGCGCACGGGTAAGATCTGCCAGTCACCTCCTGGCAATCAAGAGTCAAATTCTCAGGATCAAAATCTATACCTTATAGAGAGCCTGCATCAATTCCTGCAGGTAGAGGGGATCTCTTGTTCGAAACGCGCCTTCAGGATGCCCCAACGATGTTCGATATGGGTTCCGGAAATGGGCGATCACCGATTCTGAACGGTGAGGTCCAGTGTTGTCACCCATGAATTTCGAACGACTGACAAGGGGATGGTTATCAAAATGTGGTACGACGGCAGTATCCAGTACTTCCTATAGATGACATTGACCGTCAGGTGTCACAGGTACTGTTTCTGTAATTGTTTGGTGATTTTTTTAGTGTTTAACGCGGAATACTATTTGAAAGCTCAATTACAAATAATTAAATAATTATCATGATAATTAAGATACATTTCGTATTCTGTCAATGAATGTGCAAATTTCAGGAATCGTTTTGGAGGTGTTCATTTGTGATACGGCTGGTTGGTTTATTGTGTAACGCTGCACTCAGCAATATTCCAGCTAAATGACGTCGCTCCGTAAGTAATCTATTGCCTGGTCCTGGACCAGGCAATCCAGTGATCAACAGCATGAGCATCGTTCTACGTAATTGGGATACGATGACAACTTGTGTCAACCAAGTCAGCGAGCCTGCCCAGATGCTGTAATGAGACCCAAGTGGCAGTCATATGAAATACAACACCCACGTCGACCACGCCTACGCGACCATCAAAGGACCGGCTGCATTGATCACCTCCTGGCCATATGCCTGGTTACGACGTCAACAACACCGCCTTCGGGATCGAGTCGAAAATAGTCACTTTCATCAGCCAAATGAACCTAATGTCATGTCCCCAAATTTTCGGTTTTCTTGGAGCCTGCGCCACGCCAGTCGTTCCTGTCTGTGCCGAGGAAGAGACGTCTGATCGGTCAACATGCTCTCTGACCATCAGCCTAAGCCTCGTTCTGGTGGTACTGGAGGACGCCAACCAGATGATAGTTGTCCAGGGCCCTTATTCTCGAAACGTTCGTAGCCCTAAGAATTCTTAACTTTGATCGTAGCCACTGTGTTAAGAAAGGGCTTTAGAAGTTCGTAAGGCTACGAACGTTTCGAGAATTGCTCGCCTGGGTCTTAAGAAAATTATCACAAAATTGACTAAGAGGCCCTGTGTAGTCTATCTAGCTGACTTTGGTAGTATTAGAGCGGAGTGAGTGAGTGAGTGAGCAAACAATCCTGTGTTTCGGGCGTGTTGAAGTTTCGCGTCCAGGTTATCCTGTACTGAAATGTATTGATCCACTATAGAGTGTGTGATGCTGCTGAAGACGTCACTGCTGACGGCGACAATTACGAAGGACTGGGTAAGGGGTGGGTTGCCGAGTGGATGCAATATGTGGAGGTTATTTCCGGTGTCCATTGTCCTGATAATCGGGATACAACCACCATACAACCTACACACCACAGAGATGTAACAGGGACAACGTCGGTCGGACAACTAGATTACAACAGAAACGCCACAGGAATACAACCGGGCTGCCACAGGAATACAACCGGGTTGCCACAGGGGTACAACCCGGTTGCCACTGGAATACAACCGGGTTGCCACAGGAATACAACAGGGAAACCACAGGAATACAATCGCGCTGCAACAATAATACAACCGCGTTGCCACAGTAATACAACCGGGTTGCCACAGGAATACAACCGGGTTGCCACGGGAATACAACCGGGTTTCCACTGGAATACAACAGGGAATCCATAGGAATACAACCGGGCTGCAACAGGAATTCAACCGGGCTGCAACAGTAATACAACCGGGTTGCCACAGGAATACAACAGGGAAACCACAGGAATACAACTAGGCTGCCACATGAATACAACTTGGCTGCCACAGGAATACATCCGGGCTGCCACAGGGGTATTGCGTTATTTCAATTCATATGTTCCACATTAACCGAGAGTTCTATGTCCACAATAAACACATCATGACTTATGTCCCTTGGAAATGACGTCATTGGTGCCCAAATGATAAACGAATGACGTCGTTAGACCTTATTAGACCCATTTCACGTGGTGCAGGTATAGGTTTGGTTCTTGTGTCTCGATGCGCAGGCTACTGTTTAAATCTAACTGTTGTCTGGCCGTCAGCTGGCTATGTGGTTAGTTCCAGACTGTTACATTGTACAAAAAGTGTTACCACTTAACCAAATTGTATAACATTCAACCCGAGTCGGTTGTCTTTCCAACAGTAATTGAACTTCTTTCACCAAAACTAAAACATATATATATACGTACTACATCTAGCTTGCCATCGGCGAATATGCCGGTATTCTACGTTTGGTACATTCCTACATAAATCGTACAATATATGTCCCTCCTCTTCAACCTTCACTTTGATATCTAAACCATATGCAAATACATTTCGAAACTACAATTCGCAGTTTTGAATTCTGTTTGAAATTCGTTTTTCTATGATATCATCCGCTCATTGCAGGGCAAATTTAGTGAAAATTATATGGACTGTAAATCTAGCCAGGCTTGACACTAAATCACCATTCATTGCGCTTTTCGTAATTCATAGTATGTCTTAATTATGTTTATGTCGAATTTCACTGGGAGAATGTAATTTTTTATATTTTTTTTAAAAACAAACAAACCCCAAAAGCCCGGATCATTGTTATCACCAGTACTTTTGTCGAATCACCAATGCTCGTTCTGAAACATCGTCGCTGAACCCAGCATCGCTGAGAATGTTTAGAAAATATACACGAACGTCGAAGTGAACTTTCAGCCATACTGTAGACTATATAAAGTCACGTGACACATATGTCTGTTATGTTTTGCCCATTACATCACAACTATAATTCAAAACCATCTTCCTTACATGAATCATTGAATTCCTCATACAGTTCCAAATAAAAAGACAAATGGTCTTTGTCACCAAAACCAAATGTCTCAGTGAAATCTAGCAAAATATATCAGCGCTGTGAAAGGACCACTCGTTTCAAATGTAAACAATGCCCATGTGAAATTGTACACCATCTCAAATTTTATATTGTGAGCAGGGATAATCTACAACGTCAACGTTATATATAGTCTCCCTGCTATGAGTGATCTGGTTCGCCTACCCGTGGAATACACTTGCTCATAAGTTTTAGAACATGCATGGGAAGAGCATCGTAGCAAGAGATAGTTAAATATAAATAGGTGTATTCCAATTATTTCCACGATTCAACACAATATATCATACTTTCCGTAAGCGTGACGCCATGACTCACGCAAACTCACACACAACGATGACGGCACTATCTGTTTCTGACTGTTGCCTTTGAAAATAAAGAAAATATCAACCAGCAGATTGTCAAAAAATGTCGGACTACTTACATGTCACATTTATGAATATACGTTGCTTGAAACAACGAAGGTTTCCTTCCAAATATCCTGCGTACTCGTGTTTTGAGAAAATCGCTTCCCGATAATGATGTCATACGTACGTCAACATTGTTACACATATTTGAAATTTTCATTGAGGTGAGATTATGAATGAGAATACACACGATCATTTCTATTTTGCTGCTTACATTTTAAGTTCTAATGCTTCTTTCGCATTATTACAAACGTTTTTTCACGTGATTAATGTCAGTATTTACATCTTTTGCTTTGGGACTAGAAAGGAGACCAGTCTAAATCAACTGGAACCAATTACGTCTTAATCAAAGGGCGGTAACTCTGGCCTGTTTAGCTCGACAAACAGAGGCCTCATAATTAAAACATTGATATTAAGTAAATAAAATAGTCCATTTTGGTTCACATACGAAAAAAGTGATTTTTTCATGTACACTTCCCCTTAAAATACCTGGGTTCGTTGAGTCGTGGTGAGTGAGTGAGTGAGTCAACGCCAGATTGGGGTCAGCGATACCGTCCAGTCCAAACACGTGCTCGAAACACGCTTTTTTGCCGTTCAATATTCACATCTCTTCACTCTGAGCATTGTCGTATTGACGTCACTGTGATATTGACGTCATTGCAGTCCAGCACAAATATCGATACTCTCCCACTTCTGATGAGATTCTAGGCCTCTGGTAATTACGACATCCATCACCGTGATTTAATGCCAATCGACAATATCTCGGCCATATAGTGGCTTTATCAATTTGTCGTTTATCAGCTAAACAGAGCTTATAATAGGCACATGTGAACCGTTTTGTCGACATTATTGTAACATCATCCTACAGTAAAGGCGGGATACTTTCATTGATGACAACTTCTTTATTACATTACGATGCGACGTTTCGGTGTAGATCCTTCAACAGACCTGTCACAGATCTAAGATCCTAGACAAACAGATCATCTTTCTGAAACAGGGAATCGACAAACGAGGTCAGAGCAACCAAGGTTTCGATCACAGTTCTTTCACTAATGCCCGCCACTTACCGTAATGACGTCATTTCAGTAAATCAACCTTGATTGATATATATACAGTCCGATTTCGAATATATAATGGACGCGATGGGTGGACTGGTTCCTGGCAGACGTTACGCTGCGTCACCTTTATGATCAACATGTTTAGTCAGATCTTATTCTGAATAATCATTAAACGGTGCCACTTGAGATCTAACTATTTTTAACTGGTCAGGATGATTAATAGTTTGTACTAGTTGTTTACTAATATGCAGACATAAGTATTACTTTACGCATTTTCAAGTGCTTTGAAGTTTCAAAAATTGGCATATCGCCAAACGCCTATTGTTATTTGACGTCACGAGCGCCATAATTAGACATGTGAGTGACAGCTTCCAGCACGAGGTGCCCGTGCAAGTCGGTCTGTCTCGGCAGCTACAGGTCACATGACAATGGAAATGACGTCACTGATGAGGTCAGTTGACAGATATTGATCACTACAACTTATACACGCTGTATTCACACAGGATAAAAGACACCGCAGTATTCAAATGTTATTGATTGTTTGGGGGGGGGTCCGCTATTCTGAGCAATGTGAAAGAAATATGACAGCCGGTTGTAAATACTCGAGTCTGGGCCAGACAGTACTGTGATTGACATGATAAGCAGTGTCCTAACCGGTCGAGGTACGATGTGACCAGCCAAGGAACTGACCACCCGGTCAATCAGGCTACCTCTTGTAACCACCCTAGGTTGTTGGGTCCGTTCAAACCCAGAATACGAGCAGTATGGCTCTAATGAAAAGACGTTTAACATGACACCTAAATCAAAGATGGGTTTTATTTATTCTCACAAACGTATAATAAGGACAGTTTTCGTTTTAAGTCTATATTTTCAACTTTATAACTATATCTCTGTTTTAATCTTATTTCACTATGATAAATGGAAGATATTGGTATTTTCTAGTCAAAAAGTCTCACACGGTTTTCTAACAGTAGCCTAGTGACAGCATGTTGACACTGTTCATGGTTTTCCGAGCTCTCCCACACATGCGCACGCGCACACACACATGCGCACGTCATTATACGTGCAATAATCTTGAAAAGGACACGTCTCCGCACGTTGCAGAAGAAACTGTTTTCATTGTGTTACCTTGGCAACGAAGACTGAATTTTTTATATTTTTTTTAGTATACTGTATATAGTTAGGGAACGTGCCCCTCTTGTGTTCCTTCCGTTCATGTTTCAATAGATTTCTTACTAATGAGCAGTTTTGAGTAGGCCATTAAAACCCTACCCTCGTAAACTACAATCTGACGTCTTACCTGTAGTCCCAACTCGTTCTTGCCGGTCTTCAGGTCAAACATGTAGGCGTGCCACGGACACATCACGTGACACGTGCCCTTGTAGTCCTCGATCTGACCTTGAAACAGCGGACCCCCTGCAGAGGATAGAAACAAATTAAGTGAGTGAGTGAGTGAGTGAGTGAGTGAGTGAGTGAGTGAGAATTCTAAATATCAAATACAGAGAACATTAATCGTGTAAGTTTGGGTGAGTGAGTGAGTAATCGGTGGCGGATCCAGAGGGTGGGGGGTGTTCGAACCCCTGACACCCCCCCAAAAGAAATAAAAAATAAAATAAAATAAAATAATAATAATAAATAATAAAAATAAATAAATAATAATAAATAATAAAAATAAATAAATAAATAAATATAAAAAATTAAAAATTAAAACAAATAAAACAACAACAAGAAACAACCCCAACCCCCCTTTGAAAATGTCTGGATCCGCCTGTGAGTAAGTGAGAATTCCAAATATCAAATATAGAGCGCATTAGGCGTGTATTTTGGGGTGAGTGAGTGAGTGAGTGAGAATTCTAAATACTAGTATCAAAAGTAGAGATTATTAGTTGAGTCTGTAAATATATCGGAAGAAAATCAATCGCTTCATGCGAACATTTAACATCACGCCCGATGGCCATGTTCATGTTATCTCAATCTGGTTTATTGATTTCGAATTTGTGGAAGTACAAGAGCAATACATATAATGTCTTTGTTGAATATCGTACCGGTTCATCTGCAACCATTAAACTGTATCTTTAAATTAGTACTCACTCACCCTGCAATATCTTTGAAGACTAAGAAAATCTATGGAAAGGTTTTGAACAGCTACGCATCGGATCAATGCATAGATCAATATAGTTTAGCGACTAACCCTCCGGGTTACAAAAAACATATTGATTGCTCACTTTTGTCCATTTGAGTCACAAGATGACTTAACACGCACAGGACACTACTAACTTATCATCCATGCTTGACCTCCCCAGGAGAACACGCTAATGTGAGATCAGTAGATTTAAGAAATACATTTCGGTTGGTACCTTGTGTAATGTTATATAGTACAGTTTATCCCTGAACTATTATAGTTAAAGCACGAGGACACGTGCGCCTGATGATACACTGTCGGTCCTTTGATCCTTTACCGAAGCATCTTAGAAATCGTTTCAATGAAACAGTATCATGATGATTTGTAGATCATTGTGACGTCATCGTTACCATGACGCCACAATCAAATGACGTCACCAATCTAAAGCTACTGAAGCTGGTGAGCATCACTCAAAACACTTCTAGATAACGATGAAGAATATTACTGCATCGTAAATTGAGTGAATGAGTGAGTAAATGTTACTTTAAGCCACATCCTCAAATTTGCAGCTATTCGCGGCTAGACAACATATATTTTCCTACAGAAACGAATACAGAATAAAAGAGATGTGATAAAATTCACTAAAACTTCAGTCCATTATCACAGTAAACAGTAAAAACTGACATTCAGAATTTAAAATCTACATCTTATTATATAGTTTAATTTAATTATTAAATTATTGGAAACAGTATTGAAAAGTTCAGAAATAGTTTGAACAGCATAAAATAGTTGGCAAATGAGCGAAAACTACCCACACTCCAACAAAAGGAGCATAACAAAGGATAGTCTGTCATACAGACCCTGAAACAAAGGATAGTCTGTCATACAGACCCTGAAACAAAGGATAGTCTGTAATACAGACCCTGAAGCAAAGGATAGTCTGTCATACAGACCCTGAAACATAGTCTGTCATACAGACCCTGAAGAAAGCAAAGGATAGTCTGTCATACAGACCCTGAAGAAAGCAAAGGATAGTCTGTCATACAGACCCTGAAACAAATATATCGAAGAAAGCCCATGCAAGTCTAGAATATGTGGCCAGTCTAGATTTCCACAGTTTCCGAAAAATGAAGAAAGTCTCAGGGCTCCTTTTCATTATGTTTTTTTTTTACTATGAACTGTTTTTATCTGAAATATCTTTATTTCAGAGACTAGTTGCTAGTCTAGTCATAGGGCTGTGACAGGGGATACATTGAGGGGGTCCTGTCCCTTCAATAACATGAATGAGTATAATGACAGTGTCCAATGCGACACCTACAGATCACCACGTCATCATGACGAGTTATACCAGAAAGGACATGATTGCCTGTCAAGGGTTGTATAACATGAAATGGAGTCTTGCCCTAGTGTCATCTAACATCAGCTGTATCAACATTCGTGTAGGTTTATACACTCAAGACAACTCAAGACATTCAATATCTGATCACCTCGTAATGATAAAAGACTTCGGGCGAGCTTCTCTAGGAGTCAAATGGAAGCACAGCAACTAGGTACTTTGGTCTCAAAACATTCGGATGTTCTCTCGTGTGATGTTTATCATAAGGACCCGTGAAGATCCGGTTTACAATTAGTCTCCAGTAAGTCATGCTTGTCGTTAGAGGCCACTAACGGGTAGGGCTGCGCAATATAACCGGTTTACCGGTATTTACCGGTTCAGACACGAAAACGATACGTATTGCGATACGCTGATCGAAAACCGGTATTTTGACTTGCATTCGGAAAACTTCGTAACACTCGGAAATCTTCGGATATTTCCTTTTTTCATTTGTGCCAAATATTATTCACATTTTATGTTTAATCATGAATAAAAGTTGTTATTAAAGCTTAATCAAGTATAGTTATTTTGCTGTGTATTTGCTCTATAAATCAAGCATTACCTCGATTATAAGTAGTTTTTGTTTAAAAATACTTCATGCAATATATTGCAATACATATCGCAATACATGCTTTCGCATCGCAATATATCGCAATATGAAAATTCTCTGCAATACCCACCCCTACTAACGGGATCGGGTGGTCAGGTTCGTTGACCTGGTTTTGACGCTTGTCATCGTATCGGACTTTTGTAAATCACTGAATTGTCTGATTGTCAGACACGATTGTTTACCGACCGCCGTCATATAAAAATATTGTTAAGTGCGGCGTTAAACAACAACAAACAAACAAACAAACATAACATGTCGAATATAATCAATCTGTTTCCACCAACACATCCTTGCTTGTGAATATGCTGGGGACGTAACAAGTGTCCTCTCCGTGCGTGTAGAAGACGACCACGATCCCCAACCACAGACTAATAAGATTATTATCTCCCTCAAATCAATATAACAAGTGAGGGATAGATTGGAGGGATAATTGGTTGCCATGGATACCATTATATAGTTAACAGTAAATTGTTAGTTTCAGCCAGTAATACCGACAGCGATCAGCACAGGTTTGAAATGCTATAACGGCGAGGAGGGTAGGTAGGTTGGTAAATGGTCTAGCGTCGCTGTACAACATACAGGAGCCGGTGGTCATGACTGGCTCTTCGGAATACTTCTTTGGAAGCTCAATTATAAATTATTATCATGATAATTAAGATACATTTTGTCTTCTGTCAATGGATGTGAAAATTTCAGGAATCGTTCATTTGTGATACGGCTGGTTGGTTTATTGTTTAACGCTGCACTCAGCAATATTCCAGCTAAATGACGTCTCTCTGTAAATAATCGAGTCTGGACCAGACAATTCAGTGAGCACAGAATGAGCATCGTTCTACGTAATTGGGATACGATGAAATGTGTCAATCAAGTCAGTGAGCCTTACCACTCGATCCCGGTAGTTGGTCTTACGTCAAGCATGGGTTACTGAAAATTAGTTCTAACCCGGATCTTCACGGGTATTTGAGATACGGAGAGAGTGAGTTAGGGTTGTATGAGTGAGTAACTGTGCTTTGTTTACTCCGTTCTGGACAGGTGAAGATCCGGGGGTAGAATAGGTCTTCAGCAACCCATGCTTGCCACAAAAGGCGACTATGCTTGTCGTAAGAGGCGACTAACGGGATCGGGTGGTCAGGCTCACTGACTTGGTTGACACATGCCATCGGTTCCCAATTGCGCAGATCGATGCTCATGCTGTTGATCAATGGAATGTCTGGTACAGACTCGATTATTTACAGACCGCCGCCATATAGCTGGACTATTGCTGAGTGCGGCGTAAAACACCCACTCACTCCATGGGGCGGTGGGGACGCCTAGTGGGTAAAGCGTTGGCTCGTCACGCCGAAGACCCGGGTTCGATTCCCCACATGGGTGCAATGTGTAAAGTCCATTTCTGGTGTCCCCAGCCGTGATGTTGCTGGAATATTGCTAAAAGCGGCGTAAAACCAAACTCACTCATTCACCGTATCTGACCGTATTTCAGGACGTGTCAGTTTGGTGCAGCAGGAGCCCGAACTGATACAGCTCTAAGATGCTAACCACTTCTGTGAAAACCACGAACCCAGGTATGGTGCAGACAAAGCTACAGGCATATACAGAACGCACCGGGATTCGAACTCAAGGCTGGTTTTCTTACGCCAAAGATAGGCAACTCCGATCAATGAAATCTGTGCCTTTCACGACTACCGTAATGCATGACGGGATCGGGTGATTGGGATCTCTGTCTTGGTGCATGTCATCACGTCCCAGAGGCGCAGATCGGTGCTCATGATGTCAATCACTATAGTTTGGCATGAAATGCATGTGGACCCGTTTTTTTTGTAAATATCTCTTCATCCAATGACCCAATCGATCTCAAACTGCGCAAGAGGATGTTTTGTCAGACAACCTAATCACATTGTAAATCACCGATTTTATGCATTTGTATTAAAGAATCTGTCTATGAACAGCAGACCGCAGACTGCTTGCAGAGGGAGGGAGCCAATGACCTGTAACAGCGGCAGTGTTTGGTCATAAAGGTCAACGTTCGTCAATGTAGGTCAGCTATGCACGTTGAAGTTTTTTTCGTCATTGAGCGCAAATGTTGTTGAGTATGGCAATAAGCATAAAATAAGAGAAACAATCCCAAACAGAGAGGAAGAAGACGTGCTGTGACCTTGACAAACCTGTCAATAAGTGTAACCGACCATTAACAAAAACATATCATAGCAAAGACAGTTTAGAAGGGCAACCAACCATTAACACATCCACGGAAAGCATGGCCCCGCTAATTATAACACCCAGCGCAAAGTAATCACCTGTGTTAGTAATCA